GGTTCTCAGAGGGGGGCCGTTCGGATAAGAGCTCGACGCTCGACAGGACGTCAGACGCAAACTGAAGATGGGCATCGCTTCGGTCGACTACCAAACACGAAACATTGTCCATTTTTCGCGTCTCACACATCGCATTTCCGAGTACTTCCGTAGAAGCATCCCTACATCCAGATATCAAAGAAAGGCTAGCATATTTATTTATTTATTTTTTAAAAAAATACTCATCTACCAGAGGCACGTGGCCAAAGACAATAGGTTCCAGCGCTACATCGGCGGGGATCATCCAGAAAGTACGTCTGTTTTTCTCAGATTTATTCGTCAAATTACAGTAGCTTGGCGCCTGCAAGGCTCAATGTAGGCCAACCCGCAATGCACGCATGCACCGAAGGAATTATGTTGCCTACCCATCAGGCGCTTAGAGCATGCACAGGCTGAACTTGGTGCTTGGGGGGAACGTAACGGCGAATGACGGACGTACTTTCTGGACGATCCCCTACCCGCCCAGGAGGGTGCCGAAACTGACGGTGATTTTTCAGCGCCGTGTCTAATTCTGCCCCCCACTCAACCATACGTCACGTCACGTGCACTCCCACGCCTCCGGGAAGGAGGACGCCGGGCCGAGGCGGGACGGGATGGCCCAGCCCGGCGGTGGCATTACATCCAAACCTGCTTTTTGGTAAGACGCTACCTCCTCGCCTTTCATTATGACCCCCTCGAGAGAGAGAACCATAGCAGGAGAGGGGAAGAAGAAAGAGAGGGGGGGGGGACCTCCGCCAGACCCCTCCCCGCAGCAGTATGCCGCGGTATGCCGACGACTCCTTTCCGTCACAAGACGATCCCCCGCTTGCAGAAACATGGGCGAGTCAAGTCAAACGCAACAAGTCATGAATGACTCATCGGCGGCGCAGGCAGGGCCTATGGGCCTGGCGAGGCAAAGGGTCGTGGGTCGCTGCCGCGCCGGTGCGACGCCTCGGTGTGAAGAACATCCCAGAGCGGCGGCCACCAAAGGGCACCCCACTCCACACCACACGTTACGCGGCGAGCTGCTTTTTACTT